TGTGGAAAGTGCTAGGGGACTGCTCTGAGGTGGGTGTGACAGAGCCCCGGAAGGGCTCTCACCCAGGCACCTCCAGCTGTCTGCAGGGGGTGGGACTGGGGACTTCCTCACTTCCACAAGCCCACTGTCTCCTGTGAGGCCCTAGGGACAACCAATCACGCCACTGCTGCCCATGCCTCACCACAGGGACGAGAGTACCTGGGGAGGAGGTGTGACTTCTGCCCACTCTGAGCCCTACTGCCGGGGTCCCTGCCCCTCCTTTCCAACCTCTGAGCTGCCAGGTGCCCAGCTGTAGTCCACTCACCCTGCATCTCTGGCCATTCTTGATGTACTCCACGCCCACTGCACGGGTGCCCTCAAACAGCACCCTGCTCACGAGCGTCTGGGTTTCGGCCCTGAGGTTGGGGCGGCTCAGCACTGGGTGCAGGTAGGCGCAGGCTGTGCTCCAGCGCTTGCCTGCAGGATGGAGCGAGGAGATCAGGCACAGCCCCTACTTTGCCCTTGCACTTGGGCAGGAAAAAGAGTGAATTTCCCTGCCTGCAAAGTAAGGCTCAAACTGAAAGACCCTGCCCTACTGCAGTCCCATCTACCTAGGGTCCCTCGGACACAGGTGGAAAAGTACCCTTCATCCTCGACAGGATGACACAGAGACCAGGAGTGTGACAGAAGGGGTAAGAACCCTGAAGAGGCAGGCAAGAGCCCAGGGTCAGCCCTGACCTTGCTTCTGTCCTGCTATGAGCAAGGCCCTTCACCACTCTGTGCCTCAGTTTCTCCACCTATAAGGGTGGGACATGGCCCGGGTGAGGAAAGGAGCCAGGGAGATGAGGAAAGAGGGCCATGTACTCCTCTGTGCCTCAGTTTTCCCCTCTGTAGGTCTCTAGAGGACTCTGGGCTCTCAGTCCACAGAGCTGACTCTCCATTATCCATACCCACAGTGGCAAGAGGCCCAAAGAATACCCGAGATGTCACTCATTGGCTCTGGGTTGTATTCAGTGGCATCTAGGGGTACAATATGTCACCTCCCCTCCACCTGATACCAGCCTCATTTTGTGGACACTTACCACAATGGGGCCAGGACAGCTGGGCCCTGATAAAGGGTAGTTTAAAAAAAAAAGTTGGGGCAGGGGGACCACACTCTACCTTTGTGGATGGTCCTGTCCATCCAGCCGAAGCCTTCTTGCTGGAAGCCGTTCATGTCCTCGGTGAAGGGGTAGCCAGCCTGCTGGGCCGCCTGCAGGAAGGCCTGGTGCAGTGGGTGGTTGGTCTTGCCGCGGGACACATGCAGCGGGCCCTGGCCTCCGCGGTACCTGCTGGCGCCCAGCTCGTGGCTCTGTGCCTTGCGGAAGTAGGGCAGGCAGTGCGCATAGTCCCAGCCCTCGGCGCCCTGGCGGTGCCAGCGGTCGTAGTCCTCGGCGTGCCCACGGACATAGACCATGGCGTTGAGTGACGAGGAGCCTCCCCAGACTCGGCCGCGTGGCCAGTACAGCACGCGGCCATCCAGGCCCGGCTGCGGCTCTGTGTGGTAGTACCAGTTGTACCTG